AGTTTTCACCTTCTCATTCTTCTTCCCAAAGAGAGTCTCCTGTGTTTTAAATGCCTTTGGCTCCATAGAATCCCCGTTGCTTATGTATAGCAAGAGCTCAACAGAGAGTAAGATGAAGTGTGCCTTGGGAGTGAGGAATAACCTGAAGGCGCTGCTTGACTTCATTAGGCACCCGTTTGTCTCTGAAGGCGAAACTTGTGTCCTGGATAGTTGATCTCCTTACCATTCAATTCTCTCTTTTTTTGTTTTTGTTTCTCAAGGCAGGGTTTCTCTGTGTAGCCCTGGTTGTCCTGGCACTCACTTTGCTGGCCTGGAACTAGGAGATCTGTCTGCATCTCCCTCCCAAGTGCTGGGATTAAAGGTGTGTGCCAATACTGACCAATTACCATTTAGTTCTTTTGTTGTTGTTGTTTAAGAGATATTTATTGAGAGCTTACAATATGCAGGCAGCTTTTTAAATGTATGTATGGTGTGCATGTGTGTTTGTCTCCCTGTGTGTTGATATTGGGAGTCTTCATTGATCACACTGTCTTCTTTACTCTCACATTGAACCCAGAGCTTGCTGATATGAACTGGTTGAACTATCCAGGTTGCTTCAGGGGCCCCTGTGTCCACCTTCCAAGCTACCAAGCTTGCCTGAAAATGACATGGGTTCGTCTGAACTCCAATCCTCTCACTTATACAACTGTTTTATCCACGGAGTCATCTCCTCAACCTTCCAGGAGTTCCCTAGGTGTCTGATATAGACAAATAGTAAACACCTGAGTGCATTCTCAGGGTGCCCTTTTGCGGAGATGACAGGCACCAGAATATCAGTAGATCACACGGCACATGGAGGGAAATGAGGGTGACAGGAAGCGCAGGCTGAGGTGTGCTGATGGGCAGAGCTTCCTTGCCCTCGTATCAGGGAAGATTTCACAAGACCATGTCATCCATCTCTACCCAGGCGATGAGACCATTCTAGACACTGTCAGGAACATGAAGAAGGTGAGCGTCTCCGTGGAAGGATGGCAAGCACAAAGCCTAGTGGGCAGGTGGGCCCAGTGTGTCCCAGGAAGCAGCTCAGAGTGGCAGAAAGGTGACATCAGAGAGGTGGCTGAGCTGGTATGAGGGTGGATAGATCCTTCGGATGCATCCTGGCCTTTGGAGGGACTTGAAGTGTGTGTGTGTGTGTGTGTGTGTGTGTGTGCGCATTTGTGTGTGTCTGTGTGCCTGTATGTGTGTCTGTGTCTGTGTAGAGTGTGTGTGTCTCACTGTGTGTATGT